TTTTTTAAGACTTCGTCCTTAACTTCCTCCCTTAGTCCGTTATAGAAAAGTTCTATTTAACTATTATCATCCTAAGAGAGCCGTATTGTGATACAGTGGAACTCCCTCACATAATACTGCGCGGAGCCCGTCTATCTTAGCTACTTAAGCTTATGGACTACTATTCATTCCTCATTAGGGTCCCCGAATGTAGTTTTAAGCTTCTTTTTAAATTTACTATAATCACTAAAGATTCTAGTTATCTATTCTTTAGGTTCTTCTTCATTAAGATAATCTTATAGGGTTGGCTCCTACTACTCTAATACTTTCCCTATAAGAAGGTTTCCCACATAAAGCACTTTTGCCTTAGGCTTCTTAATAGTGTTATTAACACGTAGATACGCCTTAGCTTAGGTTAAGAAGGTTCGTACGTCTCCTCTAACTCCGTCGTACGGGTTAGGTTTAGGGAATTTAAAGAGGGCGATAACTCTAGTGGTGCTTAGGACCTAAAGTTAATTAAGTTTCTCTATAAGGTCATTAACCTATTTAGTAAGTTAGGCGATAGTCTACCCTAGGTTAGTAGTGTTACTACTAATAGTGGATATTATAGAGGTTAACTGCTTAAGGTTTTTTAAAGTAACTCACTAAACAGATAAGGTAACTCACTAAATAGGACTAATTAAAATATAATAGTGGCTCTTCTCTAATCTATAGTAAATCTGTTTCTTAGGAAGTGAGTTAGGTTAAATGCACTATAGGTATAGATAAGTAGTATTATAGCTTAAGTCACGTTTAGGAGATTACTCCTAATAGTAGAACTATTACTTAGATTAATTAGTAGAGATCTAGCTATCTACCTAGGAAATCCCCTTCCTTATATATCCATCTATCCTCTACTATACTCTTAGATCATACTGATCCTATCTAATCCTCACTTAGGCTGGATTAGACTGAGCCTATCCGACGAGTCCACTTAGATTAGTTTAATCCCTCCTAATCTAATCATATAATCTTATGTCCTTATACCTTCGTAGGGAGCCTCACAGCTCCCTGTGTCACAGGCTTCCCTACGGCTGCATAACGGGCCGCTCCTTCCGTCTTCCTATTCGTTTGTCACAAAAGGGTAAAGCTATAACTGGCTGGAGGACTACACTATACATTAATCTAACGGTGGGTCCTATATACATTCTATTTATATAATAGAGTGGACGGCCCTATTCGTGTTAAGAGAACATCTACACTCCTCTAGGTGAAGTACTAAGTCCTAAAAGTTATCTTAAAGAGGAAAAATAGGATTAGTTTTAAGAATATCTAATAAGCTATTTAAATAAAATATTATATATACTAACTTTTTTTATAATAAAAGTCTTTATATTTAATAAAAACTATATTAAAAAAAGTATATAGTATATCTATTAATACTATAATAAATTAATAAAAGTTTTAATTTATTTAAAATTTTATTTAATTATTAAGTTTAAATATTATATACTAATAAAATTATTATTATTATTATAATAATTATATATTAATTAATTAACTATATTATACTAATTAGACTAGTCTACCTATCTAGTATCTCTAGAATATTAATAGTAAGGGAAAAACTAGAGTCCCTAGAGGAAAACCCTTACTACTACTCTAGGTGGTCGGCCCCGTGTTGGTTCCTGGTAGAGTCCGGTGTGGGCTCCTCTCTTGATCCCCAGGCTTATATCCTTCGCCCTATCGCGTCTCCTCTCCCCTCTCTAATATCTTCGCTCTATCTTTATGCTCTACGGGGATTAAGAAGAGGAGCTCGTTTGTTAGTTCTCGTTCGGTTAATTGTCTCAGTCGGGTCGTTCCCGCGGCGGGCTCGTCGCGGCTCGTCTCAGTCGGGGGGTCGCGTCTCGACGCGTCCCTAGTGTTATTTCGGCCACCACGGCCGCCCCTATCGATGCGGCCCCGAGCCAGCATCGTATAGAGGTGGTTATTAGTGTTATTATACCTTTCCTAAGTTCTTTTTTAATTTTATTACTAGGTTAGGCTTAGTATAGTTATAAGTTAGTTTTTTATTATAAAAGTATTAAATAATTATATATTTAAACTTATACTTTTATAATATATAAAAATAAAAATAAAGTATTATAAATAAAGTATTATTTTCTTTTTCAAGATTAAATATAAGTTTTTAATTATAATATATTACTAGTGTTATAAAAACTATTTAGTATAGGCTAATAAACATTCACATCGCACCTAGCAATGTATACTTCGCGTCGCACCCAGTCATGTATGATATCTACTAGGCTGCCCTTTCGTGGTTGATGACAACCTATTATCCAGCTTCCGACAAACGCGGGCAGAGCCATGGGGACAGCAATGGATAAACAGCACGCAACGCTGCCACCCGAGCTTCAGGTTGCCAATCGGCGAAAAGTAGATGGACTCGACGAGCCGGCCGACCCAACTCCTACCGATACAACGCCTCTTCTGCGAGCGAGCAACCATGCAGCGACGCCACAGTTGGCCCAATACGTCAACTCGAGGACAAATGAGCCGCTGCCGCCGCTGTCACGCCTGCGCGCGGGCGGCCTGTCCAAGGCGCGGTTCTGGGTCGTGTTCTCACAGATACTCGCAACGCAGTTCCTCTGCTTCTTTGACACGACCATCATGGTGTCGTCGCACCCCGTGATCACATCGTACTTCGGCGTCGCCCACTCGGCATCGTGGCTCTCGACGGTGTTCATGGTCATGTCGACAGTCTCGCAGCCTTTTCTGGGCCGGCTGTCGGACGCGTTCGGAAGGAAACCACTTTGTCTCGGAGCGCTTGCCATATTCACCGTTGCGACGCTGTGGTGTTCGCTGGCCACGAGCATAGAGAGCCTCATCGCCGCAAGGGCCGTGTGTGGGATTGGCGCTGGTGGCACTATGTTAATGGGGAGCATCACCATGAGCGACATCATTCCCATCGAGTATGTATCCCTACTGCAAGTGCTATACCTCGCTTTGAGGCCAGTGGTTGCACCAAGTCCTCTCTATCGCCCCCGAAGGAACAATGGCAATCTGAGTTGGGCGAGACTGACACTAGAAACAGATCCCGAGGGACCTACTTGTCCTACCTCAACGTCGTCGTCGGTATCGGCTCTGGATTAGGAGCTACGGTTGGCGGTACTATTGCTGAGACAATAGGCTGGCGATGGGAGTTTGGCGTGCAGGTTCCCCTGCTTCTGGCATGTCTGATGGTCGGCTTGGTGACGATTCCGAATAACTTGGGCGTCATAGGCGAGAGGGAGACTCTCAACCAGGTTATTCGAGGGTTCGACAAATTAGGCGCCTTGTCACTTACCTTGGCAGTGTCGACGCTCATCCTTGGTTTGAATCTCGGCGGCAATATATTTCCCTGTAAGACTCCTACACCAGCTGGCTTGTTCCATGACCTAGCACAGTTGGAGCGGAGTTCCGTTGGGCTAACACATCCATGTGAAAAGGGTATCATCCATTCATCGTTTCTTCCTTGCTGGTATTCGCAGTGGCCTTCCCTGCCTTCATATTGATCGAGTGCCGTGCTACAAAGCCCATCATGCCACTGAAACTCATCTCCCGCAAGCCTCGCGCGAACCTAATCATTTCCAACTTTTTGGGCGCCATCATCTCTAATGCCATCCTCTTCAATGCGTAAGATATACCCGTCTATATAATTCCGCTACAAAGTAGCCTCAGCTAACCGCAGTGATGTGAACATAGACCCTTGTACTTCCAAGCGGTGCTTTTGATCAGCGCCACCTCCTCTGGCCTCCGACTGATGCTCCTGGCCATCGCGTCCTCCGCAGCAGGTGCCTTGACCGGCCTCTTCATCACCAGAATGCGTCGCCTCCAGTCGCCCCTTGTCTGCGCCGCCGCACTATATCTGGCTAGCATTGTATCCATCTGCTGCATGCGGCCTGGTTTGTCTCCCAATGTGTTCTGCCTGGCCCTAGTGCCATACTCTGTGGCAAATGGACTCCAGTATACTACCACGGCTGTGGCGGTTCTGGCTACGTCTGAGCATGACGAGCAGGCTGTCGTGATGAGTGCGCTTGCCATCTGGCGCAGCCTAGGGACAGTGTTGGGTGTCGCACTTAGCAGCGTTGTAGTTCAAAATGGACTCTTATATTATCTCAACGTCAATGTTCATGGGCCGTTGAAGGACGATGTCACCGCCCTGGCGCGAGCGTCGGTCCGGGCAATTGCGAACCTGGACCAACCATACCGCGACCAGGTAGTCCAAAGCTATGACGCGGCCTTGCGGTTAGCATTTGGGTCTTGTATCGCTGCCGCAGCTATTGCTGCCTTCCTCATTGTTCGAATGAAGCTGCCAACACTAGGGTTGTCTGTGACGAGCTAGATAGAGGCTTTACTTTATAGTGGCTGATGCAATACGTTCACTGTGTTCGTCTCTTGCATCATCGTTGCTATCTTTCTAACAGCTGCCTAAACAAAAAGGGTAATCCTCTCTGATATCAGAGCATCCGATTCAGTCCTGTAATCTCAGCCTTCTCGAGCCCACCTCCCTTCTGTGCAAGTACCTTATACCCATGGTAGTAGCCATCATTGCTATTGCAATCCCTATAGATGCCCGGTACCCTTTGGGGTACTCTGGCGCCTCCACCTGCTGCCAGATGAGCAGCGGAAGCCAAGCCTGGACCATGTATGCCATCTCGTTCATGGAAGCGGCCACTAGTGCCCGTTCCTCGTTGTCTCGTGCGCAAATCTCGTGCGACCATGCATATATCAAGCCGCTTATCCCACTCGAGCAGCCAGCTAGAATAAAACACGCCCATTTCCAGGCAGTGGGGATGTTCCATATCGCGAGACTTGTGTTGACAATGACAATCATGAGACCTGAGAATATGATGGGCGGCCAGCGCTCTCCCTGCAAGATGGTATCTGAAGTCCACGCGTAGATGATAGTAGTGATAATCTGGACGGCTGTGGTCAGGGTAGGGTAGGTATTCACTTGCGGAATGCTGTAACCCTGTTGCTTGAGCCATAGAGCAAATGCTGGTTGCGCTGATACCCCACCGCCATTGTTGAATAAAATGTACAGCAGTGTCAAGAGATAGACGTGCCAACTAGTGAAAAACCTTTTAACCTTGGCCCTGGTGTATGGTGCACGATTCGCACGTTGATCGGCCTGCATACGCTCCTGAGCCAGCGATATCTCTGTGGGCGTAAAGTACCAGGCTCGCGTGTTCTCTGGAACGTCGGGGAGGAAAAAGAAACCCAACACCGCGATTGGTAGCGATATAACCGTGTTTATGATAAACAGCCACTGCCAGCCTCTGAAGCCATGCGCGCCGTCGAGGTGGTAGACAGAGGCCATGAGGTAGGCGGAGAACATGCTTCCTAAGGCGCTACTTCCGTGGAAAATGCATGACCTTTTTCCAAGTTCCCTCTTTGTATACCAGGATCCGATGATATACTGCATGCCCGGGTAAAAGGTACTCTCTGCGAGTCCGATAAAGAACCGGAGCACGTATATTTGCTGTGCGCTGCTGCACTTGGCCATAAGAATGGTCAAGACGGACCATGTAACTTCACACGAAGGAATCCACAACGAAGGTCGGATTCGCGTCAAAAGTAGGTTGCTATAAAATGAGTCAACATCAACTCGGATACCCTATCTTTCGCTTGATCTCTCTATCCCTGGGTATGTGGTTGGGCAGCATTTATGTACTTGCCTTGGAATTTGGCCTATAACATAGCCCACCGTCCAGCAAGTCTGCATGTAGTTGAGCTCATTGCCGTTGAGATCCAAGTCTTCTTTCATGCCGGAAACAAAGGCGTTGTTAACATTAACCTGGTCCAAATTCTTGATAAAGTACCCCAAGCACGCCACGGTGAGGATCGCAGCATCAATCTTGAATAAAAATCGGCGTTCTTGGGGTGATTTGTCCAGGCTATCCCACAGATACGCGGTCCAGCGCGGCTTAGGCTCATGGTCCGGAAAATCGCCGAGGGGAATCGAGCGGGTGACGGGAACTGGTTTCGTGGCCGACAGCACTGGGTGGCTACTTGCTTTGCGACTACTCATGATGTGTTGTAATGTGGTTGAAACATCCGACTTGCTTGTCTGGGGATCCGTCGGTACTCTTATGGCTTGGACGGTTAAGCACGTCTGCCGTTCCATGAAAGCCACTGCATAACTACCACGTCGGCTGATGATGGCTTGCATTAGGTTGGTGAGCTGGTCATCACATAACCACGGTTACGCCTGTGCCTACACCTGAGCCAGACAATGATTCACAAGCTGGCAGGGGGCTGGCTAGCTTCCATTCCTGTTTTTCCACGCTTGGGTAGCACGGAGTGATGCTGGTAAACTATGCACTCAATACTAACCCACGACGACCACAGCTTCACGGATGAACGGTCATTTTTCGCTGCCCTCTTTCTCTACTTTACCAGTAACATGACCATCTTTTTTCATTCTTGTCTTGCTGCTGTCAGTAGTTGTTTTCTAACCTACCAAGGTCAGGGATGGCAAGACAAGGTCACACATCGACGCTAAGGCTGGAACGACCCTAGAGCGATTCCAGGTGTTGATCGCCATCTGGCGGCAGGATTATTTATTAACAGTGCAACGCACACCGGAAAGAGGTGCCACCGTGCCGCCCTAGGCTCGCTCTCACGTAGGCCACCCCGTTAGGAGTATCACCACTAAAGAGTACCCATAACGCGTCTTTAATACCTCTATAACTATATTTCTCTAATTATAGTGTCTTATATAATTTTTTTATTACTAAAAAGAAAAAAGAAGTAAGTTTTAATTTTAATATAAATATAAACATATACCTTCTTTTTTATTTAAATCTTTTAATTAGTTTATATTTTTATTATTATAAATAAACATTTAAAGTAAAGATAATAAAAGTTATATAACTATATAGAGATTATAGATATATTATAATCTAGTAAACTTAAAAGGATTAATTTTAAAAATAAACTAATAATCTAATAATATAGTAAAAGAATATATAAATATATAAAAAATAGATTATTTATAGATAATTAGACTAGAATTTTATTAATTAATTTAAATAATAGTTCTACTATTAAAAGTAATCTCTTAATATAACTAATAATATAATAACTATTTATATCTATTCTATAAATATTTTATTTAACTCTGCTCTTAAAAAATCAATCTATTATAGATTAAAGATAAGCTACTGTTATAAAGTAGTCTATTATATAGCTAAGGAAGGGGATTTCCTATAGATGGATAGACTAGATCTTTACTAATTAATTCAAGTAATAGTTTAACTATTAGGAGTAACCTCCTAATATAACTTACAAGCTATAACTACTGCTCACTTGCAGTCTATGCACTTGACATAACTCACTTCCCTCCCAACTGTGGATTAGGGATAAGCAACTGTTACATCGCTTATGTTAGTACGTTGCCAGCATGCCTGCGGCCACTTACATGAATGCGCTGCTAACACGGCTCCTTCCTCGTATATATATATTAAGTAGATACGGAGAGCGAGATATATAAATCATTAGATAGGCGACCCAGAAAACCCTCTTCCTAACCCTTTTGTATTCTTGACCTTGTTAAGAATCCGGCGCACACCTCTTTGATTGACGCGTCGTGGAACTACCGCTGTAGCATCTTTAAAGAGCCCACCTACGAGCAACGAAGCTGCATTGAAACCATCTCCATAATGAACGAAACCAAACAACCATGGATTGAAACACCTCTGGTGCGATCTGCTAATTTGTCCAAGGCTTCTGGCTGGTGAGAGCAGTCCTGATATTCCTCCATTCTCCCCTTTCCTTTTAGCCCCCCTTCTCATGGATGAAAGCTGTGCGTGTACTGGCCATTGACCGAAACCTCTGCCTTCTACTAGCCATGTATTTCTCAAATTGGAAAACACACAGCCCTCTGGTTCCTTTAAACTGAGAGGAGCTAGCCACTACATGCTCGGCAAGATGGCGGCTCTTCGAGAGCAGCAACAACAGCAGGATGCTTCGGCCAGTGTCAGAGCCCACTTCTACAGCTCGTCCGGTGCCAATGCCGGATTAGCCTGCATTTATGCCGCAAACATGTTTGGCTGCCCAACGACCATTGTGACGCCGCTGTCGACGTCGGCTTTTCTGGTGGCAAAGCTCAAGCAGGCGGGGGCCGTCCAGGTCATCCAGTACGGAAATACATGGCAGGAAGCTGAAAACTACTTGCGAGACACCGTCATGACAACGGCTGCTGTGACGACGAATGAATCGCCGATATATGTCCCGCCGTTCGATGCACCGGAGATTTGGGAGGGCAATGCCGGGATCATGCACGAAACGGTCACGCAGCTACGCAAAGCGACGCGCCATTATCGCATGACCGCTGCAGCAGTGGCAGCCTCACCAACATGCAACGGCCAAAATTTACCAATTGAACAGATGCCAGCCGTTGATGCTGTTGTATGCAGTGTGGGAGGAGGAGGTCTGTTTTGTGGCTTGATGCAGGCGGTCGAGGAGCTGCAGCTCAAGGACCGCACGCAGGTGATTGCCGTGGAGGCCGAGGGAGTCGACTCGCTGGCACAGTCTGTGGCGAAGCGGGAGCGCATCACCCTGTCTAGTATCAGCAGCTTGGCTACCAGCCTAGGCGCCAGGCGAGTCGCGCAGCGAGCATTCGAGTATGGCCTGGAGAAGCACGCCAAGACAGTTGTCATCTCCGACGCCGACGCTATACGCGCGTGCCGTCGATTTGCCGACGAGGAACACTATCTGGTAGAACTAGCGTGTGCCGTCTGTCCTGCTCTGTGCTACACTGGGAAGCTACCCGAGTTGATTCCAGGGTTTAATGAGAATACAGTGCTGGTGATTGTCGTGTGTGGGGGAAGCAACACATCATTTGAAATGATGGAAAAGTTTTGGGCCACCCTAGACAATTAAAGAACAAAATATAGACTCTCAAGATATATAGATCTTTAACTGTCTGCTGGCAAGTATACTTTTATCCAATGTTGCTCGGAGCAGATGCCACTTTAAGATAATACTCCTTGTTTGCCTGAATCCGCGCAAGTGCAAGACCAATCCTCTTAATGCCGTCTACGATGTCTTCTTCTGCTTCCCACGAAAAGCTGAGGCGAACGCTCTTGTCAAAGCTTGCACTTTCCTCATCTCCATGTACGGTGAACATCTGTCCATGACCAATGATGATATCCTCCTCAGACCTCAACACGCCAGCGATAAACTTTGTCGAAAAGTCGCTGTCGATATCCATCCAAACGAAATAACCGCCAAAAACATCGCAGCCCTTGAGACTGGCGGCGCGCGTCCGAGCCCCCAGCGGGGAAACATGGGAACGAATGGCATCTATCATCAGCCCGTGGCGCTGCTGCAGCGCCGGGCGTACGGTCTCGTCCACGAACCTCTGCAGCTGGCCGTTCTCGACGACTTCAGCCAGCATCGCAGCGCAGAGCTGGCTGGGCGCGCCGCCAGACCGCGTGGATGCCGCGCGGGCGAGGCCCGCGATGAACGCCGGCGCCGCTTCCGCCCAGCCAGTCCTCACGCTCGGGCCGGCGATTTTGGTAAAGGAGCCGTTGCTGACAGCGTGGCCGAATCCGTGAGGGTCATTGTCGCAGGGTCCCAGGGCGCGGTCGATGTCGCAGATGCGCAGGAGCCGCATTTCAGGAGGCCGAATAGTTGATACCGGCGTTGTCAGCGACCACTGGAGGAGGTCGTAGACGTCGTCGCTGATGATGAGAGCGTCGTACTTTCGGGCGAGCTTGACAAGGCCCTCTCGCCTGCCGAGAGACATGGTGACTCCTGAAGGATTCGAGCATGTAGGCACAGTGTATATCAAATGCCTGTACAGCCTCCTGCTTGCGACCGGTAGCTTAAAGGGCTGGATTGAGTATGTTAGTCAAGGGGCTGTTGGGGGTGAGGAGTCGAGTACAACAAAATAGACTGCATCACTTTTTTCTCCATGTTTTTATGGTCTTGCTCTTCGAAATCCAACAGTCTCTGTTCCAAGACCTCTAGATTTAGCCCCTCATCATCCTCTGGTATCGCGTAGAGTCTCCCAGCGAAACCAGAATCCTCAAACATGCCAGAAGCAAGATGATAGCACGGCGCGACAACCCAGACAGCCCTGGTGTAATGCACATCACTGAAGCACTGCAATATAGTGATCATAGTTTGACTGGCACCGCTGGTGATGCAGATGCGCTCCGGATCTGGGTCGACACCATAGTGTCCCCCGAGCCAGTTGGCGAGTCCCTTTCTAAGCCGGCTCATGCCGTGTAAGGAGCCGTACTCCTGCATCTCGGTGTATTCAACGGGATCGGCGAGAACACGTTGGCATGCCGAGGATAAGAGTGTTGTCGGGAGAAGCGTCGGGGCAGGCCATCCCCGGAGGAAGTTGATCTGTTTTCGAGGTTTAGGCATCATGGACAACTCCTGAATCCAGTGTGTTCACTCGTTCTCTATCACTGCTGGAAGATGGCGCTGATCAACGGGACGACAAGGAGGGGTAGCGGGGTGGAGGCGGGATGCTCTTTTATGCACCAGTGATCCATTTCACTTCATGGGCTGATATGTAACAATCTATATGCGATGTGAGTTGTTCTACATTGACATATGGTTAGGAAAGCAGCACATGGTATTCCTTACTGCGGGTAAGCTGACCAAGTGTATTTGTGTTATATATATTGTTATTCAACTAGTGGCATGTATTAGAACTTGGAAGCATGCTTGCGGTTACTCACCGCTACTTTCATGAGCCGCCTTGCTATCTAGAACAGTCCGAAACACGTCGCAGAGTCTGGCAAACGCAGAATCACTGACTTGGTAGTGGAACACCAGCCGTCCAACAAACATGCTGTTCGATATCTTTAGATTCTGTTCGCGACCCGCCGCATAAAACGTCTCGCGGTCGACGTCAGACGCGGGCAGATCCAACCATACCATATTCGTCTCCGTCGGCATGCTCAGCTTCCCCCCCAGGCTCTGCCAGAGGTCCGCCGCCCGCCTCGCTTTGTCGTGCGCCCAGAGTAGCTTTCTCCCCATAAACACCTGATGAATCGCCACCCTTGCCGGCGCGGTAATAATGCCAGAGGAGCGGATGCCGCCTCCAAACAGGTGCCGGCTCCATTTCGCGCGCCTGATAAACGACGAGCTCCCCGTCACCACGCTGCCGAGTGGCGCGCCGAGGCCCTTTGTCAGGCACATCTGGATGCTGTCAAAGCATGCCCCGACATCGCGCAGCGTGAAAGCTCCCGCGGCGACCGCCTCCCAGAGCCGAGCGCCGTCGAGGTGCATATGAATGGGCGGATCCTGGGCGCGGGCCCAGGCTGAGATGGCCCGCATGTCAGCCATGGGCATAATGGTGCCGCAGAGCGTGTTCTCTAGACTGATGATTCTGGTAGGGCAGTCGAATACCGTCTCCCTTATGATGCTTTGCTCCTTGATGTCGTCTAGGGTGAGGTGATGGCCATTGGATGGGACAATGAGTTGTATCATGGCACCGCAGACGCTCGTCACGCCTCCGCCTTCTAGTGTGGCGATGTGCCCGCGATGGTCCGCGAGGACGGCATGAGGCGGGCTCTTAAGCGCAGTTCGAAGGGCGACCTGGTTTCCCATGGTTCCGGACATGACGAGCAGCGCAGATTCGTGCCCTACCAAGTCGGCAATATACTCCTGGAACGAAAGAGTGGTCTGATCCGCGTCTGCTGTGCAGTCTCCGAGTGTCGTATGGATAATCGCCTCCAGCATGGGCAATGTCGGCCTGGTAAAGATATCTGAACGAAATTCGTTGCTCGCTTCGCTGCTGTCTGCCCATGCCAGGTCGGCAAAGTCCTGCTTAGTAGCAGTCTGAGTCTCGGACCGTGTTTCGCTGCGATGTCCATTCTGTAGGCTCCCATTGGTCGACTGTTCGGTCCCTAACGATGAGGGGCGAGATAACTTGTCTGTACTCAGTGCCATTATACTGGTTGGTTGCTAAGATTTCTTAGATTTCTTAGATTTCGTAGCTTACATACATATGCTATAAGCTGGTACAGTAACAAACAGAATACAGGTGCCGACTCAGAAAACCCCACCACAGCGAGAGGGCATCAAGACCAGTCCTACAAAACAGATTCCGCAGTACTACCCCCAAAGACTTTTATCCTTATTTCTACCTTAGCCAAGATAGTGATGTGTACTATAGAGACTGCCAAATTCGCATTATCCGGAGTGGGAACATGGTTTCTTCTCGGTTTGCTGTCTACACCTACCGTATTGCCGCACTCAGAGGCAGTCCCGTGCCGTGTATTGGCTAGTTGCATGTGAAGGATGGAACATGCATATGCAGCCACGAACCACGTCACCGCCCGATTTCTTTTTGGCGGTTAACTCCTTCTATTGTACAGGAGTCGGCAAGTTTAACCTACACATCTCCGTCGTAAAGACAAACGAGATTAGCACCCGTCAGCCACATATGCATATGGCTGCAGATAGGTGGCTGCAGATGTATAGTTGTATTGCACTTTAAGAAAGTGCGCATAAAATAACTCACCAGTCAGGAGATTGGAATTATTTGCCAGTGAAGCGATGTTGCCTCACTGTGCATTGGGCGTACGCATCGGATGGAACACTCATCATCATTTCTGGCGGTTTTCCCCTCCTACGGTAAGGGAGTCGGCACATTTGGTCTGTATGTCTCCGGCGCAAAGACAAACGGGATCAACATCCGTCAGCCGCATATGTACCTCGAATAGCTGATAATGTATATTAATATGCTGTAACGAGCCACCGGTTTACTACATGGCTGCATACCTTTAATGCACGGCCACGTCGGAAAGCCATCCTATTAACGTCGCCCGCCTAGATGTGGGCACCACCCACATCTTAGTATAGAATTCCTAGCCACCTCTCCTCCTAACTTATACTATATACCTTATAATTTCTTATAGAATACTTCTTTTTTAATTCTATAAAAGATCTATTTATATTCTTAATATTTAATTATATAAAATTTACTTTTTAAAATATAATTTATAATATTATTAATAATAAAAATAAAAATTATAT